TCTGAGGTTTGAGTTTGTACGTAGATGTGGGAGTTTTGGAAATAGATGTATAAAATTGTGGGAAGTACTAATGATAGGTCAGTTAATTTAATAGCAATTTTATATATATCTAGTGGAAGTCACGAAGTATTGAACTCTGCTGCTCTTTTTTGCTGTGGAGGATAACGGTTTTAAGATTAAACTGCTTGCAAATCAAGTATATATGTTAAATCCTGCTATCCAAGGGTAACATAAAATACTACTTGCTGTTGAACTAGAACTGGATCAAGGAAAACAATTTTTAATGGAGGCCTGAAAATTTTTTTAGACATTCAAATTCTACTTAAGCGCTATGCAACTTGAAGTTGTTTCTTTTCCATTTAATATGTATATTATGTTGCAGTTATCTTTGGTCCAGACAGGTCTCGTCAATTGAGTATACCGATATATCTTCTCTCTCTGTACAAGGTTCAGATAAGCCTTGATATAGAAAATCATCCGCATCCGCATGACTGGGATGTTGTTGTACCGACTGCGTCGCCCATACTTGATGATGAAGGCTGTTCAACAAGAGGTGGTCTGGCTCTTCTTTAGAGATATGCGAGAGGGCTTTGCAAAATGAGATTTTTTACACTGGTAGACTTCTTAGCAGATTCAACATAACAAAACGTCAGGCAATTTAGCTTTCGTCTGAAATGTCACTCATTGGAAATTACTACGTTACAAATTATTGGAAACTTGTTTTCTTCAATTCCTTCACAGAAATTTGAAAATTTGCTCATATATAACCCATCCCAATAAAGGATCTAAGATCGACCCTTACAACTACACGCCTTCTCTTATAAGTAAGGTGGTGGGTAGGTGCATAAATCGATAGTGTCTATAGTATACCTCGAACGTCACGGCTTGATTAGTCACAGGTAGTATGGTCTCCGGTACCAGCGGTATACAGGGGACCTCCTAGCTTACGTCACAAATATTGTCTTATGGTGAGCCAAATGTCGTTACTCTTGTTATAACGAAAATGTTCGATCAGCTGTGGAATGATGCTCTCTCATACAAATTACCATCCTATGGCCTCCTAAAGAAGCCTTGCAGATGGGTCGCTGATTTTCTATGCAGCCTCAAGATCTGTCGTAATTGACGGGTTCTCGTGTTAACAGCTTTGCTGATAACAGTACTCTACATGTAGGAATTCAGTGTGACAATGCGATTTCTGCCGCTGAGTTGGGGAAAAGAAAAATAGCAGCGGAGTCGTCTCTGACAAGAGACCTGGAAGTAACTGCTTGGGTACGCAACAATTTGATGATTCCAAAACACAGTACTATAGCTTGACGAACAAAAAGCGTTGTAGCGCTCATCTGGTTTCGATTGACCGCCGAGTTCGACCAAAGAGCATTCACTTTGGCTGGTCGAAGTCCAGACCATTGAGGACTTGATCTATCACGAACACATCCCGTTAATAGGGGCAGGTAAAAGCTAGACCAAAAATCGATAACTTTTCTCTAAGGGGCAGTCTCGGTACCTCGCGCACCATCGGGTCGTCGGCGATCTTGTACCGCTACGCCAATGGACTTTGCTCCTCAGAGCGCTCCTCCATGCAGACCCACCTCACAACGGCCTCCTATCCTAACCGTGTCGAACTTCATACACCCAGAACTAGCTGATACGACTGCTCCTTTGTCCCTAGTGTATCGAGATTATGAAACAACCTACATGAGGACGCTTTTTTCAGTTCTACTAGCCTTAGGCAGTTCAAAATTTGATCAACAAAAAAATTACCTCCAAAAAATGACGTTTTCATTCTCCACTTCTAAGAGGAACGTAAGAAGAGCCAATACCTCCTTTCATTAAGACTTTCCAAAGTTACTCATTTTTCCATGAGAAGCTTAGCGAGCTTTTCTTGCAAATCTTTGCTGGAGGTATTTCGACTGACTTTCAAGCATTACCTGCACGAGTTAGCAAATACCATCCCATCGGAAAATCAGGATATCCAGAACGTACGGTCTGTTGGACAAAAGCAATAGGGAGGCAGGAGCAGTATCTGGAATAATCCAATGCGTTACAGCAATTTAATGTAATTGTCCAATTGTCCAACCGTCTGTGGATCCGGCCGTTTCATCCAGTTAGCTTCTGTTAGAATTCTAGCAGGCGTCCCGTCACCGGGTTATTTATGGCGTTAACGCCGCTACAATCAGTAGTACGGTAGTGGCGCAAAAATGAAACTGCTCCATTTATTTGAGGCCAAAACATCGCATTCATGAGAACAACAACTTATGGTCTCTTCTAAATTGCTAACGTTCTAACATTGGATTCGGTTGCTTGGGATAGCAACATGGATCTAGCTTGTGATAGTCGACGCCAAGGACGAATGAAGATGTTTGAGATAATGACTTAATACTTCCTTGCACAAATAACAACACTGAAAGAGTTTGGGACAACGTATTAACAAGGTATGGTCAACAATCTCTGCTCAATTGCTTGTGATAGCATATTTCATCTGGTTTGTGATAACCGTAACAGGACTGTAAGTTTGAACATGGCAGGTTAGGAAGTCGTTAAGATATATTTGTCCTTATTACCAGATAGAGATTAGGTATCTTATGCAAGGTTAGCATTACATTTTGCTTTTGACGGCAAATTCCATCTGGTTTGTGATAGCGATGTAGCAATATAGCATTTTTCATTTATAACAGATAAAAATTGGGAACATCTATGCGAGACTAGCGTTACATTTTGCTTGGGATAGCGAATTCGGTGGTTTGTGATAACCATGGCACAGGTGTGTAATTATGAACATGTCAGGTTAGAAAACCCCCAATGTAAATCTTTTTCTTATCACCAGATACAGAATAGGCACCTTATGCGAAGATACCGTTAGATCTTGCTTGTGATAGCAAATTCCATATGGTTTGGAATAGCCATCGAATAGGTCAATATATATATATGCACACGACAGGTTACGAAACAGCTGAAGTACTATTTTTCATTAACAAATCATTATGCCCGATTAACGTTACATTTTGCATAGGTGGCACTCGAACAGCAGGGCGCTCTGGATTGTGTTGTCTTAAAGGCCATGTAGTCTGTTTCATTGCCGCATCATCGTGGTGACGCGGCGACGTTAGTATAATTAATGTTCACGCGTTGTCCCAAGGCTGACATTTCGAGGGCAGGTCTTGTTGATGACGATAGATGAATAAATTCTATTCTATTCGATAGCGGAAAGCCATAATAGAAATTGTCGCACGCAGGGATGCGTGCTTGGTCTGTGTACAGCAACATGTGAGCTGTTCACTAACTGCAAGTGGTAATACTCTATCCTCTATGTTCAAAGAAGGTAGAGGAGCGCATGCTAGCAGTTATTCACATTAAAGCAAGGAACTCATTGTCCTGTGCGAGTTTTTCAATAGAACGTAAAAGTGTTGCAATACTGAAATGGTGGTTAGATTTGTAAAGGACCCTGTACCAGACTTCATGCAGGATCACATTGATTTTAATTTGGACCTAAAAATAATGCACAAATCAAAGATTTTCTATCCTTTATTTACAAGGTATCCTACGTAGAACTGATCCATTTATTTCGCGAAACCTTGACGTTGACAATTCTGAAAACTTGGAAATATGGTATAATTGATGTGAGGAATATAGCTAAAATATTTTCAAAATGATGGCATGTCCGGTTGTACCGAAGGTAGACAACTTATTTTAAGTGGACCACTCAATATACTTTTCATTTTTCGAAATATCAATTTTGTATAAAAAATCAAAAATGCAGATGAATTTTTTGTATATTTTTCCATTTAACAAACGATTTGCAATTACTTCCCCGTAAATGTGTAGTCCGCTTTAGTAGCCTTTTTTAATTAATAATAGAGGGTGATCAAAAAAATCGGATAAAAATTGAATTGTAAAAAATAATATTCTTACCTTAAGCAATGAAATATGCAAAGTTTTGTATAAAGTTCACATATTGGCAGTTTAGGAAATATTTGCAAATACTCCTTTTCTCTATACGATTTTTTTATTATCAGAGTTGCATGACATATCAAAAATAATGTAGATACTTATCCTTTTGTCCCAACGAAAAATAAACAAACTGATTAATCAAATCCGTGTCTATTATTTATTTGCCGCATCCGATTCTAGTTATGAAGTTTTTTTCAGGCACCAAATTTGCGCAATATACAATTCGAGCAGATACGTGGTTGAAAATTGATTAAGTTCACAAGCGCAGATGACCGAGAGGTTTAAGAACACAAAACGGTACTCCGATTTTTCTTTCTTCTTCCTTCTTTGTCTTCTTTAGGTGATGAACAGACCATAAAGAAATCCCTATTGAGAGATAGAATACGGGTATTTCCAAATACTTCCTAAAGTACTAATTTGTAAAGTAGATATCCTCATGCAAAACTATCCTTATTTCTATTGCCTAAGATGATGAGATTATAGAAACAGATTGCTTTTATTTTATTGATTTTGGCATTTTTCGCAATTTAACTTTTATACGATTTTTGGACTACCCTGTATAATCAGTGAGCCACTAAAGTAGATCCTTTTAATGCGGAAGCAGTTACAAAATGTTTCGACAAAGGAATATACGCAAAATTCATAAGCTTTTGTGGAACTGCATTTGTGATTTTTTCATAAAATTTCATCTTTCAAATAAGGCTTGAGATAGGCTTAGGATGTTATGTATGAAATATGCTTAGAACGTTTGCTAAATTCAAAAAATTCAATAAAGAACAAGATATAACCGGAAGTACATTTTGAAAATATTTTTAAACGAATTTCTAATATCAATTTTACCACAACCTCAAGTTTTTATGATTGACTAATCTCAACTTTTCGAGTAATCGATCACTGCAGTTCTACGTAGGACACCCTGTACAATTCTATAAGGCATGGAAAATTGCTCCTCATTTCCTTATAATTCTCTCGCCGCAAAGATCAACCTACTTAAGTACTCTCTATTAATATGGAAACACGACAAAGAGTGACAAAATAGAGAGTACGATGAGAAAATATTTTTCTTATATCGTTTTTCCAGGAACAATTTTCCTTGAACGGCATGGTGCTATATTTCCTGCAATCTTGAACGATCTCATCTAATTTGGAGTTTGCGACAAAGCTAAAAAACTGTACAGCTTGTACGTCTGGCTTAATATATGTACATAATATATATTTTCTTTTTCGTCTGCAGAGACACAGCATCCATGGTATGATGGAGGAGGAGAACGTGATCCGGCCACATCAGGAGATCGCGCAATTAACTTTAGACGAAAAGAAGTTTCTGCTTGCGGTCGAGAGAGGAGACGTCGCCTCTACTAGACGGTGAGTTCAGTAACCTTTTTGCTATACATTCTTTTCTACAGGGCGGCAACTTTGAGACTATATGTTATACTGAGCTTCAAGTGTACAATCGGTCGCTAGATCTGTTATCATATATATCTGAAAATGTTATTCTCTGAAAAAGCAACTATACGCTTCTCGCTTAAGATATATGCCACCTATCACAACGTGGCAACACAAACGCGTCTTTTCTTAATGGAATGCCCTGTATATTTCAGTATATTTTGAGTTGCCCCTATTGGGTTAACTAGGTTGCTAAGTCTGTAGCTACGGGACATTTTGTCCGAAAGGGAATTCAACTTTGACAGCTTGTAAGTCTGTAAGTTCTGTAGATAGAGAAGCACATTTTTCTTCAAATAAGCTTCATATCCCATAGTTTCTGTTCCTTCAAAATATTATTGTTTTTTCCAAAAATCATCTATACAAAATGTACTTTCTCTCAAAAAATTCAAATGGAACACCTTGTATGATTTTACGGTTTTGCATTTTCCAGCCGTGTAGAGAGTTTTGCCGAGTTGCTGGATGATGTAACTTTGAACTTAAAGCATAATGTATAAAAAACAATACAAATTTCAAAATTGACAGAGTTGGTAATATAGGAATTTAGGATTCTTTAGACCATCATTATTTTGAGGTGGGACATTCATGCAGCCGACATTTTGAAGAAAATAACATGTTTTACATATAAAATTAAATTCCTCACAGGCATATTGACAGAAAATTATACCCATACAAGATATTATGCCTCTATTGAGACGCAGCTAATGTAACATATGTCATAGTAGCGTGTAGTACAGCATGTCTAGGGTATTTAGACGACATAGATGTACAATTTTGGAGTCTGATACGTAGCAAACTTCAGTTTGACTATGGTACAGCTATGGCTGAGGTCATTCTTAATTTGCGTTCTTAAAATATTACAAGCCTAGAAGACGTACCTGTGATCGTGATTTTAAAGTGTTATATCGATTTACTAGAGAAAACGTAGAGTGGATATCAAATCACTTTTTGGGTACAGAATCTGGACAAAGAAGGGGCGGTGCTATATGTAACATTGATAAAATTAAAATAATTTTGAGATACGTTGTGATCCGGGTTTACAATCAGGAGTAGGAGAAGATGTTGGTGTTCATAAAAGTTCTGTCTCAAAAGCAGTGACGGAAGTTACTGAGAAGATAATAGAAAAATGCGGACTGTTGATAAAATTTCCTCAAACTACTGCCGACATAATAGAGGCGAAACAAAAATGGCAATCAAAATATTCTTTTCCGTGTGCATTGGGAGTTATAGACTGTACCCACATAAAAATAAAAAAGCCACCTATTCATAGCGATAAATATATTAACCGCAAAGGATATCACAGCATTAATGTACAAGCCACATTTACAAGTGTAGATGCTTCATGGCCAGAATCTGTTCACGATTCACGAATTTGGAGCAATTCAGAAATTTCAAATATTGCGAGGAACAATTTTCAGAGGTTGTAGCACTACTCTTAGGAGATGAAGGATACGGCATAGCACCGTGGCTAATGGTACCTTTTAGAAATCCAAATACACTACAAGAACGTGCTTATAATAATTTATTTACAAAGGAACGTGTAATAATTGAAAGATGTTTTGGTCAACTAAAACAATAATTTCCAATGCTACAATATAAAGTGCGGGTATCCTTAGAAAAATTTCTAAAATTTGTCTAATGTTGTTGTATATTACACAATGTAGCAAAATATTTAAAAGATGAGCTAGACCCTATGGAGCTCCCATTAGAAGATATCCCACTTGCGTATCCTGCAGAAGAGAAGGTGGACAATCATAATATTAGAAGAAGCGGGCAACGGAGGAGATCTGAGTTAGCGAATATCATTGTTGCTCTTGCTTGAAGTAAGTAAAATGTAGAAATAACGTATTTATCATTTTTATTATTAACACTTTAGGAAAATGTCACATATTACAATTCTTTTATTTCGTAAGTGATTCTAAAGAGTATTATAATTTGAAATATGCTTGCCATCTTCACCGTGAATGATATTATTATTGATTAGAATTACATTGGTCATCAACATCTCTGTTTAGCTGTCTCTTGAGTTTTTCCTCTTTCATTTCTAACACTGTCAGTTGTTTCAGCAAAAGTAGTCTTTGTAGTTCGTTATTCGAGAGTTGTTTAGTAACATTTGTTTCATATTCTTCGAGAGGACTAACTTTGTTGTGTTTCTTTTTTTAGGTGCATGTTGTACTGTGCTGATAGCATCATCATTTGCTGCATTCGTTTCAGAAGCAGAAGTTGATTGCCTAGGGATTGTATCTTCGTGGCTGATTTTCGTCTCTGTTTGTTGTATGTACATTAAAAAATAGACAAGTGATAAAGCTTCTGAAACGAGTGCAGTAAAATATGATGCTATTAGTACAGTACAACATGCACCTAAAGAAAAAGAAACATAATAAAGTTAGTCCTCTCGAAGAATATGAAACAAAACGTTACTAAATAACTCTCGAATATCGAACTACAAATACTGGTTTTGCTGACAAAACTGAGAGTTTTAGAAATGAAAGAGGAAACACTCAAGAGACAGCTAAACAGAGATGTAGATGAACAGTTTAATTAAAAAAATAATAATATCATTCACGCTGACGATGGACAAGCATATTTCAAATTATAATGTTTCAATACTTTTAGAATCGCTTACGAAATAAAGAATTGTCGCATGTGATAAGAACATTTTTCTTCAGTGTTAATAATAAAAATGATAAATAAGTACGTTGCACATTTTACTTCAATTCAAGCTCATCTTTTAAATATTTTGCTACATTGTGTGATATACAGGGTGGCCCATCCATGTGTGGACGGAATATTACTCACAATTATATATATTTATATATTGGCAATTATACAGGGTGTCCCAATTTTGACATACATATCAAAGTTGTGATTTTTTAAATGGAATGCCTCAAATTTTATTGCATATTTGGATAAACCAATTCAAAAGAAGTAGACCGATATAACACACTATCGGGTTTTGGTAATTAGATACTGAGATGTAAGGTGCAGAAAAACCGTTCACTTCGGCAACCCCTCAATCGGCCATTTTGAAATTTGGAGTGCTCAATTTTGTATCAAAAAAAACTTACCTTTTATCTTATTTGTTACTTTTTCGAATTTTCATTTTTGCTCATTGAAACGCGAATTTCAAATGCATGACCCTGTATATTTGTGCAAGTTTAGATTCAATTTTTTATAAGCTTTTTCTGGTATCAGGTTTGATTCAGATAAAATCACTAGATGTTGAGTTATTAAGCTTTTAATAGAACAACACACCAAAATTATGGAAAAAAATCACATCATCCAATGAAACAAAAGACAAACAGTGGGCTAGTTCCATATTGCCATTGAGAGTACAGATTTGACATAAAAACTTATAACAAACAGAACAGTATAAATCAACTTCAAGCTGAATATAGAAAAACAACTATAACAACAACATTAACAAACAACTATCACTACTCAAGACCTAATCTACAAAAACTGCTCGAAAATGTCTCCGCCATGTTGAATACACAGCAATAGTCTTTGGATAAATGACCGTTCTACATCCCTCAGCATGTGTTCCCTTATGTCCAGAAAAGCATCCTTGATCCTTTCCTTCATATTTTCCGGGATAGATGGTGGATATCTATAAACCTCTTGCTTAACGTAGCCCCATAGAAAGAAGTCCATCGGTGTCATATCTGGTGATCTAGGAGACCAAGATATAGGCCCATCATGACCGATCCAACGATTGTTGCTCCAGGTGTCCAAATAGTTACGCATACGATTATGATAATGCGCAGGTGTGCCGTCATGTTGGAAGTACATATGCATCCCAGTTTGCAGGTAGACATCCTCCAAAGGCAAATGCTCATCAGACTCCAAAATTATGGAGTACATTCTCTTTCCGAGGAGCATGAACAATTTTTTATTCATGGGAAAACTGAGAACGAACTCAGAACAAATTATACATAAGAGTACCTACTCAAGTGGAGCATCTGCTCCCTATTTTTATTCATATCTCATGGAGTATGTGCTCCAAATTTTTGAGTAGATACGAAATGCTCATTTTTATTCGTAGGACCCACTGCCATAATACTCGATATAAATTGTGAAATATCTGTCGCTAAACCTCATATTACCATAATGGCGCGATACTTTCCCTATTTGGCTTCAAAATTATATGAACACATACCCAAATACTTAAAACAATTTCGAAATACACTTAATTTAAAAAGAAAAATATATCAAGATAGAGACGCTCAACAGGACGACAATATTATTGAGCTATCAAATATTCATTAAAAATCGTCCCCTTCGACATAACACCCTTTTGATAATATTTTTTCTTCAAGTTTCTTTTAGCTTTTTTGTTTTGTCACACGTTTTTTTAAAATGGCGACAGGCAAACGAGGTTGAACATTCACGGCACTGAATTTAAACTTACAAACCTGAACCTCAGGGTTATAACGTAAAGAACCTAATATATAAGTATATAATGTCAAAAATCCCATAAAATGTCAACTTGTTGACTAGGTGGGCTGATGTACAAATAAGTAAGCATGAAGTGAACAACAGTTAGTTCCAAGTTGACGTCTTGTAGGAAAACCTACATAACTTCATAAAAAACCTACGTAATGGAAAATAACGAGGCTCAAGTTACGTAATATCCTTGCCGCTCAAGAGATGAGTAAGGCATACCTTTTTGAAAAGCACTATGCCAAGATAAGGATCCCATTTAGATCTCAATACCTCTGGCAGATACAGCTTAGGCTAAATTAGGAAAGACTACGTTCTTTTTGGCGTATTTACATGCCGTTGAGAAAATTTCATGGCTTACTGGGGCTACTAGCAAGATCTACCTCTGGAATGTCCTCAGTCTTCCCGGACCTAATCTTTTCAACCACCTCAATTCTATCTGGGTGTGTTTGATCGCACGGAACGTTGACTTTGGCCTG